ATAAAAGTTTTTTAATATAAAAATTAAAAAAGAACTAAAAAAAGAATAACAAAAATCAATTGAAGATGAGTGAATTGGTTGCCATATTTGCACCTGAACCAATCAAATTAATGATTGACCCAACACGATATGTAATAATCCCAAGACCAATTACTATTCAATTTCATAAATTAAAATCATATTTTCAAAAAGATCCAATTGCTACATTTCAAGTTGTTGCAGCATTAGTAAGAGAACAAAGAAGAGAAGAAGCACAAAAATTTCTTTTAGAAATAATGACAAATAGTTCATTAACACAATTAAGTCAATCAATAGAACGATATTTTTATTTAGTTATTGGGTCATTAAATGCATATACAGGAAATGAACAAAATAACAAAATATGTCATGAATATCTTGAGAAGTCAAAACGATTTGGAGATAATGAATTTACTGAATGTGTTTATGGATTTAATGCATTTTATTCTAAAAAACCTGGTAAAGATTACTTTAAACGTGCATTAGAATTAAATAAAAATTATGCACCAGCATTAATTGGTCTTGCATTATGTGAATTAAAAGATCACAAAGATGGAGTTGCATTATCTTATTTTATTCAAGCACTTAAAAAACAACCAACAAATGTAAGTATTAGGTGTGGTATTGGTAGAATATATTATTCTCAAAAAGAAATTAAATTAGCAATTCGATGTTATGAAAGTGCATTAGTTCTTGATACTATTTGTATTGATGCATTAATAAATCTTTCAAGAATATATTGGGATATTAGAACTCCACAAACAGTTAAAAGAGCATTAGAATTAGCTAATAGAGCATTAATGATTGATAATAAATGTGCACCAGCAGCTATAGTACTTTGTGAAGCAGCAATGAAATGTAATAATTATAAAGTAGCTTCAGAATTTGCAAATATTGCAATCAATTATGGAAATGAACAAGAAAAGATTTATGGACATTTTACTTTAGGAAGAATTGCTCATCAAAAACAAGATTTCATAAAAGCAAAAGAAGAGTATAATATCGCTTATTTATCTGATAATAAATGTACTTTCCCTGCATTACATTATAGAATGGCACAAGTTTTATTTAGAGAAAAAAATTATATTCAAGTCGAAAAAATTTTAATGAACTGTTTAAAATATAACGGTGGTGATTTCGATGTTTTAAAGTTACTTGGATTCACTGAATTAAAACTTAATAAAATTAATGAAACGATTGAATATTTGGAAAAGGCTTCTGTTTTTAAAATTGATTATAAAATTGAATTAATTGTTTCTTCTTTATTAGAAGAAAAACAGCCAAAAAAAGCATTAGAACATTACCAAAGAATTAATGAAGTTAATAGTACTGTAGAAGTACTCAACAATATGGGATGTTGTTATTATTTTATTCAAGAATTAGTTAAAAGTAAAGAGTGTTTTGAAAAAGCATTAAATATGGATAAAGGTAGTGAGTTAAGAACAACACTTCTTTTTAATAAAGGAAGGGTATTAGAAGAAATGAAATTATGGGATGAAGCAAATAAATGTTATCAGGAAATTATTAAAGACAATCCATGGTATTTTGATGCAAGAATCAGAAGGTGTTATCATTTATGGGATGAAAAACAATACAATTTAGCATCACAAGAACTAGTCGAAACAATCAATAATTTCCCAAATTGTGAAGACGCTAAATTATTATTAGGAGAAATGCTATGTCAACAAGGTAAAATTGATGATGCTTTTAAAATATTTAATTCAGTAACAAGTCATAATAGAACAAATTTATACGCTTTCTTAGCTCTTGCAAGAGTAATGGCTAAGTATGGTAGACAAGACCCTAAACAACAACTTGAAGCTGTTAAATTATATGGAAAAATTCTTAACGCTGATCCAACTAATGTATTAGCTTTAGGAGGTTTAGCTTTGACTACTGCTGAAAGAAAAGAAACTACATCTAATCCAATTCCATTTAATGTTATAATAGAAAGTCTTCAAAGAGTAAACGATGTTTGTCCATCTTATGAAGTTATGTTTTCTATGGGAACATGTTATTATAATGCTCGTAATATCCCGATGGCTAAATCTACATTTGAAAGTACACTTAATCAATATGGTGAACAAGTAGAAGTATTAAATGGATTGGCTCAATGTGAGTTTATGTTAAATAGGTATAAAGAAGCATTAGAACACCTTGAAAGAGCATTAAAGATTGAACCAGTTTCACAAATTGTGTATAACTATCAATTAGTTGCTTCTTGTTATTTAGAAGAACAAAAACAAAAGAAGAAGTTATATAAAGAAGAAAATGAACAGTTAAGACAAAGTGTTGTTGGTTATTTACAACAATTTAATAACTTGAAGTACAAAATGAAAACATTTGAAGAGAATTGGAAAAGTTTAATTGAACAAGCAAGAAAAGACCAAGAAGAAAAACAAAGACTCATCAAAGAACATGAAGAACAAAGAAAAAAGAAAATTGAAGAAGAGAATCAACGAAAAAAAGAAGAGGAAGAAAAAGAACAACAACGAAAAATGGAAGAGAAGAAAATGATAATTGAGAAAACAAAGAAAGAACAAGAAATGATTGGTAAAAGGATTGAAGAAAGATTAAAAGATATTGAAGAAAATACAACAGAAAAGAAAAAAAAAGAAGATAGAAAAGAAAAGAAAGAAAGAAAAAGAAAAATTCTTGAAGAAGATGAAACTGATGGAGAAAATAAAGTACCTTATAAAAGAAAAGAACGACTAAATGAAAAGAAAATGGAAGAAGAAAACAAAGAAGGTAGTGTTGAAGAAAAGAAAGAAAATCATTCAATAGAACAAAGTGATGACGTAGTTTCCCTTTAATGAAGCAATTCATTCGTTTATTTTTATCTTTGTTATTTATTTCTATTGTATTTAACATTATTTTTCTTTCATTCTATTCAATTATCTGAACATAATTGGAAGGGAAATATCCTTTTATTCCATTTAGTTCACCAAACCACCACAACCCATCTTTCCTTAGTAAGTCTATTACATCTCCTCTATTAAATGATAATTCAAGAATATCATTAGAGTGATAATCAAATAAACAAAGAACTTTAGATGTATTGGGAGGTTGGTATTGAATGAATGGAAACAAATTTTTAGAAGGACAAGGTGGTATTGGTTTCTTAAGTTGTTGATTTATTTGGTCTGTATGAAAACGTTCTAAACTAGACCAACTCCCATATTTTTTGAGTTGTTGGGAGTATGTAGAAGGATAATTAGGGGTTTGTTTTCCACAAGAAGAAGATCTTTTTATTGGTTGTCTATTTTCTGGAGAGTAATTATTACTAGTTGCAATTTGTACACTATTTGAATGAACCATAGAACCTTTGTCTTCTGTAATAAATTGGTTTGGGTTGAATGTTTGGTATTTTATTTGGTTATTAAATATATTAAAATTAAAGTATTGTTTTGAATAAAATTCTGCAAAAATTGTAGTCATAACACTGGTCAATTGTTCAACAGAATTATCTACATTGTTTAATAATTCATTTAATTCAAATACTAATTCGTCCCTAAGTTTTTCATATTTATTTTTGGAATCTTCTAGTTTTTTTATAAAATTAGCTTTTTGTTCATTTTCTTTAATACGGTCCATATCTATTCTTCTTCTATGACATTCTTGTATTCTTTTATCTATAACTTTAAATTGTTTTAAATATTCTTTTAGAGGTAATATAACTTCATTCATTATTCTTTTTTCCATTTTTGTTATTTCTTTTTTATTTAATTGAACCGTTTGTTGAAGAGAGTTTAATGTATTAGTTAATTCATTAACGTCATTTTTCCCTTCAGTACATATTTTTCTTAAAGAATAAAAGATTTTTTCTGTTTGTTTATTTTCACAAAAATAGTATTGACAAATTTTTCTAACTTTAGTTAAGTAGTGTCGATACCTTTTTTCTTTTAAAAAGAATTGTTCTTTTAAACAAGAGAGTTCATTGTCTTTAGTTTTACTTTCAATTCCAAGATGTGTTTTAATTTGAAATTGTTTTCTTTCTATCCCTTTGAGTATTCCACTTAAACTCATTGATCTTTCCTTCTGATTATTAGTTAAAGTTGTAACTTTTGTTATCATCTTTTCATTTGTCAATCTAAAAATATTACTTTTTAAGATTAACAAAAAATAAAAAAATTGATTGTGATAACTCAAAACTAGAAAAGAAAGTATGTCCAATCAGGACACACTAGTTGAAATGAAAGAACAACCCGTTGTTCCACAAATTGATACTGAAACACTCCAAACGGAAAATCAAAGTATGGAAAATGCATTAAGAAATACAACTAAATTAAATACAAATAAAAAAGAAATTGTTCCATTACTTCAAGTTATTAATACCACATTTATTTCAGTTGGGTTTCTTATTTTTTTGTTATTAGCAGTTGGTTGTTTTGTTATTAGTGTTTTTGTACCAGTTCCATATAAAACAGGTGAAACATCTGTTTGGAAATGTCATTGTACTGAAGATACATTATATCATAAAGAGTGTTGTGATGGAATTAATTTAATGGAAACAAAAAAATTAGATATTCAAGTTGGGCCATTTACTTTACTTAATGAAGAATTTAGATTAGAAGGACTTTTTAAAAATTTAAAAACAGACCAATATATTGGAGGAGCAATTGAATTTTTAATTGACATTGATGGAATAGATACAATGGGAAAAAGTGAAAAATTTGTTGAACAATATCCAATAGATGTAAGATTTGATTGTAAGAAAGAAGAATATAATTGTAATAAATTTACATTTTTTACATACAAATTATTAGTGTATGAATATTATAATATAACAATGAATATTAAACACACTACATTTGAATCAAATCAATTAGGAGATTTAATTTTATCATTAAGAACTGTTAATCACAAATATAATTATTATGAAATTGGATGGAGATTTGTATTTATTATATTGTCTTGTATTGTTATGGGATTTTTTGCATTTGTTAGTAGAAAATTTGTTTATAGTAATTGGCCTGTTGAAAATAAGTTAACATTTTTATTATTGTTTGTATTAATTTTATTTAATAATCCATTCTTTTCTTATGAATATGTATTTGCTTCTACATTGTTTGTTTTTTGGAAACTTATTATCAACTCTATATTTTGTGTATTTGTTATGTTTTATGTTCTTGTTATATTTGAAGCACTACGTAAACCAATATCTTGGAGAAAAAATATTAAATTTTGGATTGGAAGAATAATGTTCTTTTGTGCATTTATGTTAGTTATATTAATTACCTTACTTTATAATACAACCTATTCTATAACTAATATTAATTATAAACCTTTAAAAGATATCCCAAATATTGTTTTTTGTGTTGTTGATATCATTTTCGCTATTATTTATTTTGGTTGGTTATGTTTTTCTGTTATTCGTTCCTTTAGTGAAGCTAAAAGAGTTGGTAACACAAAAAGAATTTATACCTTTGGCATATTGGTTATAGTATCAGTTATTATATTTGTTCTTCTTCTTGTTGTAGCTTTTTTCCTTGGATTTGAAAATAGTGCTACAACTTATTTATCAACGTTGTCATATGGCAATCTATTTATTTGGTTATTATCTATTTTTTATATTCCAAGACCAACTCGCCCAAGTTTGTTTTTTATTTCTTTTTAAACTGAAATTCTTTGAATTTAATATTTATTTATTGTAGTTTGGGATAAAGCAAAAATCATTCTTGTTGAACAAGATGACATTGCCCAATATAAAAAATTACCTGAAGACATTGTTGATGAAACTATAGTCGGTGCCCCTCGTTCTGGTTCTAGTGATATTGAATAACACTAATTTACTTTTTTTGCTTTTAATAACATAATTTATCCTTAAAGATTTATTTTTATATTTTGTTTCTTTTTTTTCCACCATAAATTTTTTCGTTTCTTTTTTTGTTTGATATGGTTCCTAAATTATATCTTTTTTTCCACTCTTAAACAACTGCTGGAACTTTATTCCTTCATATAATTATGTCTTTTTGTGCTAACGTTTTAACTTACTTAAATAAAAGAAGTTATGGAATTAACAATGAATATCTTCATATTGTAAATGCCATTTGTATATCTGATTCTTCAGATATTTCACATAAATTCGTTAGTGCTATTATTAAGTATTATGTCTTTGAAGACTCAGGTGAATTAACAAATGTTACTCAACAATTTTGTGAATATTGCATTATTGGAAATAAAACACTTGATCGTCTTTTTTCATTATTTGGGTCAGTATTTCAACCAATAAAAACGATCTTGTTTAATGATAAGAATGAATTGTTTGATGTTAAATGTAATCTTCTAACTCTTTTAAACTTTTTTGTGAAAACAGGTCATTTTAATGATCAAATGGTAGAAGATGAAAGATTTATTTATAATATTTTTGAGTTATTAAAATTTGATGAATTATTTGTTAATACTTCTATTTTATTAGAAACTATTCTAGACAAAAGAAGTAGTGTTGTTGATATAACAATTCTTCCATTTCTCTTTAATTCATTAAACAAATCTTATCTTCATTTAGGAGTATTCTTATCAGTGATGAACTATCTTATTCATACTAATTCAACAGATAAACATATTGTTGAAAAGAATGTACAATACTTTGTTGGACATAGAATCATTCAAAAAGTTATTTCATTACTTTCATTGTCTACATTTGATCTTGCTGTTATTTATCTCCTTCAAAATGGTTACATTGATGAAGATAGTCAACTTATTTCTTCATTTAATGAACGTTGTCCATTAGAAATTGAAACATATCCAGATATTGATATTACATTTAAAGGTGTTCAAGGTACTTATGCAGCTGATATTGTTTCAAATATTCTTTTTGTATTATCATCAATTGTAGATAAATTAGATGAAGAATCCCAACTTACAGTTATGGAAAAGATTAGAATTGATGATGTTGTTTATGGATTATATGAATCTATTGATGTTGAGACCTTACCTCCAAACTATTCTAGATCATCTGAGAATGCCTTTCATTCATTGTTTTCTCAATTTCTTCGATTTGTATCAGTACTTTCATCAAATTTATTAGTTGGAAAAAAGAATGGTAGTGAAATGGTTAATTCAATGATTAGTGATATAGGAAATGATAAAATAGATCATTCTTTTCTTATTCCTTTAATTACTTCAATTGAAATTATAGCAAGAGGTTGTAATGTAAAACAAAGGGAAGTTATTGGAACAGAAAAAGGATTGATTGGACTATTAGTTAGTATGATTATGGACAGATCTATAGAGATAAAAACATCTCATATTATTTATGATCTCCTTGGTGTATTAATTAGAAGAAGTTCAACAAACACACTCACCCTTATTTCTAATATACAAGTTCCACTTGAAATACTTTTTGCTAACTGTTCTAATTATTGTGTAGAAACTAGTGTTTTCTTTAGAAATTTAATATTAAACATTATTGTTGATAAAATTGAATTAGACACAGAACAAAAAATAAAGGATAAAACAGAAACTAGTATCAGAAATGCTATACCAACTTTCTTTAAAAAGACTATTGAATTTATTAATAGAGAAGGAATTACTTCATATACTACTTGTTGTATGAATACTTCAATTTTAATTCTTGGAATTTATTCTACAAACATGAAAGAAATTTACCAACAATGGAAGAATAAAAAAGAATTAAAAAAAGAAGTAGAAAAAGTAAAAGTTTTGTTTATGAAGAAGTATTATAATGCAAATAGATTAAAAAAGTTATGTGATGTAACAGCAACATCAAAACAATTATGGAAATCTGGATTACAGACACCAGTTATCGAAGACTAATTGAAATATTTTTATTATTATTATTTCATCATCCTGATTTTGTTCTATAAAATCGTTTTTATTTAAATTAGAATATACTAATTATTTTATCAATACTCTTTTGTTTAAATTGAAGTATTAAAAAGTTTCAATAATTATTAATCAATAATTCAATTTATAACAACATTTTGTTATAGAAGAATGATTTGTTAAATTAATAAAAGGTATTTAGTTATTTTCAATGATTTCAGAATCAAAGTAAATTTGTTTAACTAAATCAATGAAGATATTTAATTTGTTTATTATTTTATTTCAATTTTATTATTGATTATTAAAAATATTATCTTTCATAGTATGTATCAATGTTTTTATTAATAATTGTGGTTATGAATCATTTATGTTTTGGTTTACTAACTTATGATTAAAATTAGTAATATCAATTAAAAATAATATAATTTTACGAATATAATTGATATTCTCTTCGTATTTCATTTATAATTGTTTACACTCCTTAGTTTTATTAATGAGATATATTACTATATTCCAATCTCTATTGATTTTGAGAGTCATTAAGTATTATGTATTTAAACTTCTTTATTCTAAATAATATTGATATAAGTCATATGAGCTGTTGTGATGAGTTATTTGTTAAAAAGATAATAAAATGCTTTTGTTAATAGTTATAAAATATTTGTTATGAAAGGTGATAAAAATTATTTGTGTTTCACAGTATTTATAACGGATTTTTAATTTTTAATATAAATAAAATAAGTGTTTCATTTCATATTTATATTAACATTCATACAATAAATTAAAATTACTTCAATTATACATATGATAACGTCATCATTTGTATTTTATTATTGAATTATTTATATAAAATAGAAATTGAAAATTTTTATTAAAACAAGAAATTATTCTGTTTAATGGAATTAAATTATCTTTATTTATAGATATTCTATTTCGAATAAAATAGTAGTTTTATTTTTATTATTTAATTTTAATATTGTTTCTTCATTTTAATTGGTACAAAACATTTTAATCAACATTTATTGATTATTGTATTTAATAATTTTATTTTGTAGATATAACAATCTTCACAGTTTAATTCATAAATCATTAGAATACTATTTATAATAGTTACTTTATATTCACTAATTCTTTTTACACACCTTACTCTAAACATTAGGTTAATTAACAAGTTCTATTATATTATGAATAATGTTTTAGTATTTATTATAAAAATATGTATATATTTATAATAATAATTATTTTTTCATTTTGTTAAATTAGTCATGTAATAAATTCATTTTATCTAAATAATTCACAATTTATTTAATAAAATGGTATTCGCTCAAATAAAAAATATTAATTTATTTTTTTCAATTCAAAAAAAATTGAATATTAATTTTGAGTTTTATAAGGCATTTTTTTAACAACTTTGTTTTATCACTTATGGTTAATGTTATTATTGATTTAATGTATAAGGTATAGGTTGTTTTGTATATCTTAGTTTTTATGTATTAATTGAATTTATTAATATAAACAACTTCTTTGTTATTTCTTGTAACTAATTTATTTTATTTAATAATTTATTTAAGTTCAAAAAGTACTATATCCTACCTATTAATTTGTAATCAGAAGGGTATGATGATTCTGTGACAAATAATTCAAATATTCATACGTGATTAAATAAACAAGGATTAGAATATTTAATTGATTTCATACTATAAAGTTCAAATATATTTCGTCAATTATACAACAAAACCAAATAAGTAAAAAGTAACATTAAAAAAATGAATTGAAAACAATTAAATTAATGATAAGATAAATAGAATAAATTGGGATGGTTAAGGTTTTATATAAATTTTAATATGAATTTTTTAGTAATATTATGTTGTTGATATAATGTAGTTAATTTTTATTTTCAATATTGATCAATTAAAATAATAATACAATAAATCTTATAAAATTATTGTGATAAAAAAAATTAATTATTTGAATAATTAAAAATAGCTAAATTATCAATGATTTCACTATATTTATTATTTTTTCATTACTATTATCTATTTACATTTAAATCGAACTTATCAAATTTCTTTTTACTATGAAGACATTTCTTTTTGTTTTAAAAATAATAAATATCAATACTATTTTTATTTATTTAAATTTGATTTTATATGATTTAATTATTATTTATCATTTTATTTATTTCATTAATACATATTTTCTTGTTATATTCATTTATTTACTATATTTATAAAATGATTATATTTAGTAATACTTCATCATCATTACAAATAATTATTCGGTTATTATTATATATACTAAGATTATTTGCTACATGAAACGTATATTTATAATGAACAAACACATTTAATTATTTTATTATTAATTTGCTCTATCAGAAATTAATTTTAAATGGCTACGAAAAAGG